AAGAGAGAGAGAGAGAGAGATACAGAGAGAGAGAGAGAAAGAGGGAGAGAGAGAGAGAGAGAGAGAGAGAGAGAGAGAAAGAGAGAGGAGGAGAGAGAGAGAGAGAGAGAGAGAGAGAGAGAGAATAAGGCTGTTCAGGAAACATCTCCCTGCTCATATATTTATCTTTTCTGAATTCAAAGTGTTCATGTCTGGAAACTGTCAGTTTTCTTTCCCAAGAAGTTGACTGGGTCACCAGGACACTGAATTCACCCCCTTTCTCCCCACTAGTTAGAGTAAAACGAGGTGGGGGAGAAAGGAAGAGATCAACCAGACACTCAGAGGAACTCTTCCAGGTGGCTGTCCACAGCTTCCCTTCCAACCACCCAAGACTGCTCAAAACTCCAGCACAGGATTTCAAATATCTCCGGGTGTTTACGGAGCCTCTGGGACTTGTCCCAGGGACTCACTTCCTGCCCAAGTGTTGCTCAGGGGTCTGGAGGACAGGCAGGGACCTAAGGTGTTTTCCAATTCCTGACTCCACCCTGTCTGTCCCTTACAGTTCAGTTCCTTCTTTCTCCTGTGTGATTCTAGCCAAGACCAGGACCCCGGGCTGCTATTGACTGCCGGGTGACCCCATGTCTGTGGTGCTCATTTGGTGGCATCACAATGGCAGATGGTTAGGAGTCAAGGAGGACAATGGTCAGGGAGCTGGTGGCTCTAAGAAATGAGGCTGAGGCTCCCTGAGAACAGAAATCAATCATGACTGCCCAGTAGACATCCTTGTTATTCCCCCATCTCCCCACTGTAGACTGAAAGTATCCAAGGGCCTCATCAAACACAGCAGGAAAGTAAACGACACCACTGGGGTCATCTACAGAACTGGTGAGACCAGGGCAGTTCTTGGTTCAGTAAGGGACAACTAGTTGCAGGACAGCAGCCATGATTAAACAAACTCAGGGTACACCTGCATCCAGGACCCATGCAGGAGTCCAGGTGGGTCATCAGTGAAACCAACTCTGTGTGCCACTCAGAGTGGGGAGGTTTTGGACCTACCTAGATGTGGTTATAGATCTTGTCACCAGGTTCAAAAGACATTGGACCCCACAGGGAACCCCCTCTCCTGTGCACTTTATCATTGGGATATCTAGGGGAATGAGTGACACCACTACCCAGATGTCCCCTGAAGTAATGAGATTCAGGAGAAAGAAAACCACAAAGGAGGATAATTAGTTGCTTTTCCAGACTGAGGGTTTGCACTCAGCCATCTCCAAGCTCCCAGTCAGGTTCAAGTAGATGCCCCTGGAAATTGGGAGAACACCCACATAACTGACTTTCAGCACCATCCAGACGAAGTCTAAGATGCAAGCAACCCAAGACACAAATCCTGGAGACATTGGCCGGAACAAGGTCAAGCCATCTACCTGTTTACAAAGGGTGTCTTAATGCAGAATGACCCCAGCGGTTGAGTGGGAGTCAAGTGGAAGACAAGACAGCCAACCCCTCCCAGAGGTCCCAGCAGAAGGTACTCTTCACCGAAGGCTGGCCCTAGACTGCTTTGGCACCCTACTACTAGGCCCTTGTAAGAGATTTTGAGGCTGGACAGAAGGGCCTCTGTGGCCATGGCTGTGAACTCTGGGGTCAGCCCTGGGGAATGGCAATTGTGTGAGGCTCATGTGTCACTCGGCTTGGCAATCCAAGATGGGCTGGGAAGGAAGAAACCATTTCACAGGATGGATACCATCCGGGTCTACCAAGCCCACCCTCCTGCTCGCCCTTGTACCACAAGATGCTCTCAGAGAATTCCAAGGAGGATTAGGAGCAAGGCATAGCCCACTTGGCCCAGGGTAGGATCTCAGACTCTTCTCAGGCATCTAAAGCCCCTGCCCACCACATCTCAAACCCGGGATTGAATTTCTCCCGGGGCTAGGTCTTCAGGTCCTAGGGAAGGTGGGTCACCCTTGCCTTCAATAGGACTTGTGGTGGCTGGAGACACCGAAAGATCTGAACTCTGCATCATGACAGATTCAGGGGTCTGACTGAGGTGGGTTGAAGTTCATGCAAAGAACCTGACACCTCAGGCCTGGCACAGAGCCACACCCCCTACCCCAGGCCAACTCACTCGGGCGTGTTGATCCAGATGATGTCCAGGTGGCAATAGTAGACACACTCCTTGTCCTTGTAAGTGAGGCACGTGCAGCGCCGAGGACGGTGGTGTGCAGGGACCCCTTGGTCCTCCTGCTCTGGAGAATTGCCTGATCCCTGTTTCTGCCCAGAACGTGCAGGATTTGTAGGCTGTGCAGCTGTTGGGGCCACAGTATCTTCACAGTCCCCCTCTGATCCAGCTTCAGGGGGGGCCTGGGACACACTGGTTCTGCCTGAGCCCCCAGGCCGGGGGCAAGGCACAAATCCTACAGGAGGCAGATTGAAAGTACTGAAACAGAGTTCTTGGCACCCACTACCCCGGCCCCCAAATGCGGAATGAGAATCAAGCAAACTTGTGCGATGTCTGGGGGCTGGTTGCATTTCCCCTGCAGTCTCCAAACTAAGCCAAATGCCTAGAAAAGTTTACAAAGCACTGTGCAAACTCAGTAAAAACTTGGGAGCTATTTTCAGCCCCTGTGAAGTCCGAAAGCTATTTGCTCTTCACTGGTGAAAACTCGATTTTTATATAGTCTCTGAAAAGTGCCCAAAGAATAGCCTTAGTCTCCCAGGCTGAAACCCCCAGACCCAGTGGAAATAATCATTGTGTCTTCAGGCCCCTCTGGCCGCCCCTGGGAGACTTCAGGGTGCAGAGCCAGGCTCATTTAGCTTTCCCGCAGCACAGACCCGCGCCTGGGTTCCTTTTGTGTGCACTCCCGCGTGTAGAGGCGCACCGCCCCGCCCCTCCCGCTTACCTGCTGCGGAGGTCACTGTGAGCCCGAGAAGGAGCCACAGCCCCGGCTCCATGAACCCTGGTCAGGCGCGGGAGCACCGGGCCTGGAGGGTGGCCGCTTGTGATCTCGAAAGGGCACTGGGACCGGGAACAGCTTTCGAGTCCTGCGGCTGCCTGAACTTGCGTCCCGGCTAAGAGCTAGTTGGCTGCCGCGGTCACGAACTTTTAGAGCGCGCTGCCCATCCCTGAGCAGGGCTGACCGGCTGTGGCTCCGGCTTTTTTTGCTCCCCCCCCCCCCCCCTCCCCCCCCCCGCCCCTCCGAGGGGCTGGAGCTGCCGCGTCGGGCCTTTGAACCCGGGGCGCACGGGGGTCGCTTTCCAAGCGCCGCGGGGAGCCGACCAGAGGCTCATTTGCCCCAGGCGCACCCAGGGCCAGAGAGAGGGGCGGGGACGCCGTGCTCCCCGTGGGTGGGTGGGGGAGGGTGGGGGCCTCGAACAGCTGCACGAAGGCCACCCTCTGCCCCTGTACACCCAGGTCACTTACACTCAGATTCACACGTGCAACACCCTCCTCAGCCCAAAGCAACCCTACCCCACCCCAATAGTTCCAAGACCATGAAAGGGTCGCACAGAAGGCTTGCTGTCTTCTTGATTGTTAGAAATCAGTCTAAAGGAAAACCTGTTCACCAATGGCTTACCCTTGCTGAGGCCTACTGGCCAAGGCTTTGGGTGTACTTTACACTTCTGATTCATGGGTGCCCCGGCCAGCTCCCTCCTTCTGGAAGTTCTGGTGGCAGGTGGGGCAGTGGACCAGAGCAAAGTCATAAAGATTCCATTCAGGGTGAGGTAGCGGTCCTTCAGTGAGGGGCAGGTGGCTCTCTCCAGAGGCACACTCATCCCTCAACTGCCCACAGGTGTCTCACTTGTCAGGGCACTGTGGTGGTTTAATGGGTCTGCAGACCTGTGACTTCATAAAAGGTGGATTTCAAAGTTATCCCTGCCACCTCCCCACGAAAGGGGTACAGTTTTCACTAACTGGCGCGGTCTCTCAGGACATTTGCCCACTGAACACAGCCACAGTGCCAGGAGGAAGCCCAAACCAGCCAAGCAGAGACGTCCCATGGGGAATTCTGCCTGAAGAGAAACTGAGGCCTCACAGCTATTGTCAGCTACTGACCTGGAGCAAATGGAGTGATTGAAGCCCCTGGCTTCAAGGATTCCATCAGGGGTCAGTTGGTTTGGGTTGCTTTATGTCACAAGACACTTTAGACTGAGGGTACATTCAAAACAGAAACGCACTGCTCACAATTCTGAGGCCTTGGAAGTCCAAGCATGCCCTCTGTCTATCATGGGTTTACTTTGTGGCTCTTGGATGGCTCTTCTTCAATGGTGGTTTGTGGTGGAGAGCCAAGGTGCTCCCGGGGGCCTTATTTATCAGGTCACTAGCCCTATTCTTGAAGGCCCCACCCTCATGACCTGGTCACCTCCAAGGCCCCACCTCCTAACACAAGTCATCTTGGGGATTAGGATTTCAACAGGTCAAGGGATCTATCTATTATTATTTCTTCCCTTGGAGTTAAAATATCCATCTGTAGCTGTGGGTGCTGACAGGCTGGCCAGTTGTCTTCCCTGACATCTATGGGTGGGGCTAAAGCAAACCAGTGCTTGGATCAATGTGTGTCCTGGGTCTTCATTCCAGCTGAGATAAGAAAGGTTAAAGGTGGAGAAGCAGGGTTAAGAGCAGAAGACATTGTCCAACAGGGAGGGCAGAGCCAAGGCAGCTGGCCCTCAGGGGAGGTGGCACTTTAACTGGTCCTTACAGTGACCTGGACACCATCATTGTAGGAATTCCTGAAGGCCTTCCTTCCTAGTCTTCTGTTCTTGCTGCTGTCCCAGAGCAGTGAGCATAACCTCAACAAATTTCCAACCAGCACCACCCTCTCTGTGCTCAAGGAGAGCAGGCAGCGGCTCGGCCGTGGGCAGAACTGGAGTCCAGCTGGGGTTTAGTGATCTTCTTCACTGCTCTTAATTGTGCACTCATTTTTTTTTTTATTTATGGCAATCAATGCTGGCTTTTCTTGTGTTGTAGAGATAGAACATTCCTTTCTAAATTAATTTCGTTAAATCAAAGGGAAGTAATCTGGACTGGAACACGCTGTAACTCACGACTCAGATGGTTTGGTGGGGTGGCAAAATCACAAAACTGCTTTGCCTGCCACCAACTCCTGGAAAGCCAGGCTCTAATGGGAGGAGACCACAAAACCAGGTGAGGGGAACAGAAGAAAGAGCTGATGGCAGTGCCCAGACAGCAGTGTTTACCACCAGAGAACCGGCATTGGGAAGGGTACGTCACATCATTTTTGGAAATCGACCTTCCAGATCTGTGGAAATTAGCAAAACACTTAATATATTTTGACAAATTGGTATGAAGGAATTCCACCAACCAGTGCACCATTTCTGGTAACTGCCTGACCTAGGGAGGCTTTGAGCAATCAAAGACTTCTGTAAATGGAGTTCTTAATTGGTCTAAGTAATAAAAACCCAGAGTCAGATATAGAACAAAATGCTGAGATCAGAGAGGCGCAAGCCACCGCCACACCACAGACCTCCATGGTTAGCTAGTGGCAAGCTCCAGTCTCTGACCTTCAGACAGGCTTTATTGGTACAAGCAAGATATCACCACAGACTTCATCCCCGTTCTCTTGCACTTTGACCAACCTGTAGGGCTGTCATGAGGAAGGCAGGCCAATCGACCTCCCCTCCATCTGCTGGGCCATTCTGCCCTCTACTATATCAATACTGACTCTTTAGCAGTCACCTCGAAGGCCACAGTGATGAGCCTGCTCCTCCCCACTGCCCCAAACATCTCTCTACCTGCCATTGTATCTAGAGATTCTGATTCCACGTTAAGGCCCTGCCATTTGGTCCAAGGTAGGTCCTCTACCTCCAGAGTCTGAAATTTTAAGATAGGACACAACTGACACAGTCCATCTGTCTGGCTACAAGTTCAAGTGTGGATTAGGCATGTGTCCATGTTGGGCAAATCAGAGACAGTCTCAAGACCTTGGCTAGACCCTTAAGAAAGTTCTTTATTCAAGGTATTATAGAGAAGAATGGACTCATACCCACAGCTCCTGGGAGGCACCTTGACACAAGACTGCCTAAGGATTGACAACCCCAACATAGAGGGACTAGAATTCAAGAGGTGGAGACACTGAGTTTAAGTTTTCAGCTTCTAGACCCAGGGGTCCCTGAAAACTACACTGCCTGTGACTTCATGATTCTTTCTTGCACAACTTGTGTGGAATTTTATCACTTTCGGCCAGAGAAATGCTGGCTGGAACATGCCCCATTCTCCAGGACTCCGTTTGAAACAAGGCGTGAAGGAAGCGTGAGGCTTAGACAGATCAGCTGTAAACTGGCAGTGAGGGTTTTATTTAGTTCAAAACGTTTAGCCTATCTGGCCTGCCATCACAACACTGTTAATTACCAGAGTCCAGATTCGAATTCAGTGCTATCTCATTCCAGGTCAGAGTTCATACCCATTAAGTGGTGCTAACTCGTGAGCTCATACTCCAAGCTGATACTTGACTCCACTCCATCCTGTGTGTTCCTGGCAAGTCATGGGCTCTGCATCTTTTGAATTTCCTGGTTCCCATATTCTTTCATGAAAAGCCAAGCTGAGGAATGATGGATGACTATGTGTCTCCTAAAGAGGACACTAGTGAATGTTCCACTCTCCTCGGAGGTCCACCAATGTCCCCTGATCTTCCTTAAGTGCCTCTGCCATCAACATGTCCCAAGAGGAGTCATCTGTCAGGACACTACCGAGCCACAGCCAAGGGCATGCCTCTGCCGTTCTGTTTCTCATCTGCTTCCTCTCAGACGACAGATGTGTGACCATTGCTTTGACATTGTACCTCTTACGAGTTGATTCAAAACCCAGAGTTGAGAGCAGTGCAGTTTATCTCAGTTAAACGTCCCCTCCAGTTGCCCCTGCCGGTACTTTATGACTCTTTTGAAGATTGTTTTCCCTTAAATTAGGGGATTTAAGAGACAGGAACAAAATACATTTTGTAGTTTTCCATTACCCTAAAATTTCTTCCCAACCCCCCTGCCCATCCTGAAGAGCTGGGGATGCCTGGGACTTGCTCGGAAGTCAGCCAGTTCAGTTCCTCTCCACGTTCTGCAAGCCTATCTGTGTATCCTGTAGTCATCCTAAGACTCTGGATTTCTGGCTTTAAAAACAATTAACATCACAATTACGATTTGGTGAAGTAAACCCATCACAATAAGCCAGACTTAGTGCTGCAGCCCCTAAGCCCAGCTACTTACTCAAGATGTTGAGTGAAACAGGAGATTCAATTCAAGGCAGCCTGGGTAACTCAATGAGACCCTGAAGTTTATTTATTTATTTTTAAGCCTGGGAATGTGTCTCAGCGGTAGATCACTTTCTCAGTATGTGTGAGTCCTTGGATTCTATCCCCCAAACCACAGAAAGACAGACAGACAGACAGACAGCTGGATGGATGGACGGACGGATGGACGGATGGACAGACAGACAGACAGATACACACACACACACACACACACAGAGAGAGAGAGAGAGAGAGAGAGAGAGAGAGAGAGAGATATCACAGTGAATTCTAAACTTTGGTCCAGTCCATGCATTCAAGGCCTAAAAGAAGAAGGTGATCTCCAGCAGAAATCAGACAACTCCAGTCCAAACTGTTCAAGAGAGCTACCTAGTTGGCCCCGTGAGCTCTGTTGTGGCTGTCGGCTCTCACTGACCCTTAGCATCCCATCCCTGTGTGTCACTTCCCCCACTCTTCTTACACTTCTGGATGGCACTCCAGGCTTGAGACTCTACACCTACCAGTCAGAAAATCTTGTTCCCTTTGATGCAAGCAGGATAATGGGCCCCCAAAGCTCTATACCTTAGTCCCCAGAACCTATGGTTATAACACCTAAAATGGAAAGGGAACCACTAAACAGGAAGTATACAGGATTACTTGTGAACACCAGCATCATCATACATGCCCTTATACATGACAAGCAGGAGACGGGTCACAGAG